GATCATGTTTTTAAATCATAAATGTTATTTCTGACTCTGATGAACTGACAAACGATTCACTCACAAATGGTTTGTTCAAAGAAAATCAAGTTTGTCTTCATCTTAGAGATCAGCTGCTGCAGAGGGACATCAGTTAAAGAGACGTTGACCTCAGGACGAGGTGGAGACCAACACCCGAGCTAAAGCCGAGACAATAACTCATCAACTCGTGTTTTTACCATCAACTTAAAACGTGATCGCTGTCAGATTCAGGTTCTTCTCACTTTGCTCTGGGTTTAAAGTTCCTGAGTGAAGACGTCGATTATAGAATCTTTTTGTTTTTGTTACACTTTGAATTTTTAACTCAAAGTGAGTTTTAGTTTAATAATTCTGTGATTTCTCAATAAAATCTTGATAGAAACCTCCGGAGCTCAGTGACTGAGACTCACAGACACAGACTGAAGCTGATAATTAAACCATTGAAACTAATCTGCTCTTTAAGGGAAACGCAGCAGAACGTCTGCGGACAAGCTGACCTCCTCTTCCTCCTCCTCCTCCTCCTCCTCCTCCTCCTGAGTTCAGAAGGTCAAACCAGGTGGTGACGGCCGGTGAATTCAGGCCAACTCATTGTAATTAAGAGCATAACTGTGATTGACAGTGTTTGCCTGCGGACTCAGGCCTGTGTCAGCAGCTGGTGACAGCTTCACCTTTGCCAACTTAATCAATTGAAAGTGGCAGCGGCCCAATCACAGGCCGAGCCTCACATCCTCTGTTAGCCCCGAAACGTGTTTGAATCATTTCATCGATTCAGTTTGAGCAGGAAGCAGCAAACAGGGCGGGGGGGCAAACTTTTACATATACAGTTACACATGAAAGTACATGAAGTAAATAATGAAAACTACTTTTACAATGTGATGGAGGGGAAGGGCGTTTCTGAATGAAGCTTCATGTGGTTGCCATGGTAACATCATGATGGTATTACTAGCAGCATCCAGCACCTTCAGGCGCAGTACTCCACAGTACTAGAGCACTCCACAGTACTAGAGTACCCCACAGTACTAGAGTACTCCACACTAGTTCAGATGAACGTCCTCGTGGTTTAAACATTTTATCGTGGGAGGTGAAGACTGCAGCTGCTTCCTCTTCTTCTTCTTCGTTGGTTTAATGTGTCTCTACTTCCTGTGACTGGTCCAAAGGTTCAAACTGTCCAACAAAGTGTTTTATAAAAGTGTTAAATTCTGAATGAAATGACAGAACGGAGAGTTTCACCAAACCTCAGATTCGTTTCATTTTGTCCTCGGAGGGGAAACAGCAGAAGGTTTAAACTGTTGGTTCAAAGAGAAACGTCCTCAAAGCAGCGTTCACTCTGAACACGGACTCAGGTGGCGTCTGGCTGAGCGGAGATAAAAAAGTTTGTTCAGCTCCAGCGAGCAAACATCTTTCCTCTTCACCCTGAGACTCGACGACTTGAGCTGAGGAGCAAAGTGTGAACGTCTTTAGTCCTTTTTTTTGAAAGGAAGCTGTGATGTCGCCGCAGGACACAAACCGTGGGTTTGATCTCCTTCAAAATCCAGCAAAGAAAACCACATACGTCTTTTCTGCAACACAAGATGGTTTTTCTTTGTTTTTCTTTTGGTTTGAAAGTAAAAATACTCGACAACATTTTGACTGAAGGTCAGAAAAGTTTATGTCGACAGCACAGAAGTTAATATGAAGTAATTTATCCGAATTGAATCTGATGCGTCCGTGGTCTCGTGTAGTTTACTGGTTATTCAGTTCAGTAGAATTTTAAACACCAAATCAAAACATATCAGTTCCCACTTCGCTCTCTCTCTCTTTACTCTGCTCGTTTCTCCGCCCGTCAGGATTCAGTTCAGGTGATGAAACAAACTCAGTTAATAACAAGACTCACAATCTAATTATCACGATCCTCAGTGATGGGATTAGTCACGCCGCCATCAGCCGGAATAAAGAGCGGACACAAGGACTCCTCATTCACATGGAGCAGATTAATGAGCGGCAGGCGGTCACTGGTCCGTCTCATTCAAACCTGAGAAACAGAAACAACACAAACCTCAACATAACCTCGTCCGACAAAACGAGGTCTGATGAACCTTCTGACTCTACAGGAGGATCACACGTTTAGAATATATCTATC